TCGGTTTCGTCTGTCTAGCTTGTTTCGGTCGAACAATCCCATTTAAACACTGATTGCCGCGATTGCGAATATGTTAATCGGGCCATTGTGACTCTAGATGCCAGGTTGGGTCTGCGAAATAATTGAATGTAAGGCAGGGGACATCGCAAACCGGAAGAAGATAGCAGCTGATATAGCAGAGAACTAATGATGCATCATGTTGGATGGATAGACTGTGTGGCTGTGGGAGTGATTGTGTTGCAACGCAGCAGAGGGCATCTGCTGCGGAGGTTGGCTCGTTGGTGAAACAGGAAGTTGGGGCCAGTCAAAGCGAGCGGAGGCGGTGGGACGGGTCCAGTCATCCTTTATGACCTAAACGTACAGAGCACAAAGACAGGCTTAGTGTTAAGAATAAACCCCAGTAAGTGGGCTCCCTAAGTAGTATTATCTCATTAAAAAAATCAGCGAGATAGATTAAGTGATGCATGTGATAAAAATGTGGTACTTCGACTTTTCTTGAAATCAAAAAACTAGACATAAATGTTTGTTTCTTTTGGTTCTACACTTGGATAGATCAGGCGGCGACCGCGGGCCTGTCTACAAACATTAAAAAGATCGTGTATTCTTCTGTTTCAGATAAAGTACTTTCAGCTCGATTATCTTCAATTAGATAGTTAGCCACATAATACTTACAGATGTTAGCATCGTTTACTAGAGCTGGAAGCAGATTGGTCAAAGGCTCTGAATCCTCTAAAAACACAGGGAATATTTGGGCGAGGGGTTGAAAATTAAAGAACTACTAATAAATCTGAAAGTAATATGTGTTTAAGTGGACGCAATGGTAAGCCGCACATCAGCTACGAATGCGCGACTTGTTGCTATTATGCTGTAGCTAAGCCGTGCTGTGTAAACCAAGTAATTATATGCAATAGCAAACTCTAGTTGATAAAAATGAGGTAACTACGCCGGGCTATTTATTGGAATTAACGACAAAAAGGGATGCGCGGACCCAACTACCCGGTCGAGAAAGCCGCGAAAAATCTGACTGACAGTGTGGTAAAGGTTGTCCAACAAACTCTCTTATCTTGACACCCATTTCTTTCCTTTGTAGGGAAATGCCAGTTGTCCGTTGGTGAGCAGTACATTTGCGCCCTCGGCAAACAGGGAAATCAGGAAGGAGGAGGCGTGGGCGACGGGGGATAGCCGAGTCGAGTTGACAAATACGAGACTGGCAAATTTTTCACGATTGGGTCAAGTGAATTATTGAAATCTGCCAACCCCTCCTGATAAATAAGTGTGCCTGATAGTCATCTGGTGGATTATAGATTGATAGTTTAGGCAGTCAGCTTACTCTATCAGTACTGGTGGATTCCACAGATTTCGACAGACTGGGGAGAGGGGGGGGGTAAATT